AGGACATCCCACAATTTAGAAATTGAGATAGTGTAGAGTATGAGGAATGAGAGGGAAAGGGGGAAATGCATAGGCTTCCTCAATTGGCCACAACTGGAGGAAAGATCTGGGAGCCAGCTGAAAAAACGTTGTGTCTGGCGATTGAGGTGAGATGCAAAAATATCCAGTGAGATGAGAAATAATTGTGGATCCAAACTTAAGTCCCTCCAGTTGCGAAAGAATCAATCCACAACGAGCTTGTCTGAGCCAGGACGGTGTTCTACTCAAATGGGAAAATTGAGGTTCATGCAGAAGAGGTATCACTCTTTAATGATGTCCTATAGTAATTTTGAATGGAATCCTTCCACCTGAGCCACATACTGGACTGCTGAGATGATGTCCATATGTAGAACAAGGGAGCAATTGGAGATGCCTTTGATGAATCTAACACACAAAGGAGCCTGCAATCAATTCAAAATAACTGATGTGAAGTAAGCGTTCAACTGGAAACCAAAGTCTGCCTGTGCAGGATCCGGAGCATGTCACACTTCAGACAAATTGGATGGAGTCTGCTTGAAAGATGAAGTAAGGTTACTGAAAATTCGCTTCCCATTCCATGCTTCAACACTGTTCAATTCTAGGTGCATCAATTGATTGTACGAGATTTAAGTTTTGTAGATATTGTGTCTTTAGCCTTTGTGTTGCTCTGTAGTTCAGAGGACCTGGACCTCTATGGGGTACAGCAAAAGGGGAGCCACTTGCAATATATACAATATTGGTTATGGTGAAGTAGAGAGTAATTCTCCTAAGGAAGGGTGATGATATATGTGAGGAAAAAAGTGTCCAATGGCCTAGAATAAAAGCTGCAGGGTCAGGCAGGGAGATTGTGTGTTGGCTGTCTGTCCACGGTAAGTCTGAAGAAAAATGGCCACTGATCTGTTATGCTCATGCACCTCTCCCGGATGCGACACATGTAGAGACATTGTCACAGGTTCGGAGTCAATGTGCATAGTATGCAGAGATTTGGACAAAACACAACCCCTTAGCCTAATATGTTTATTGGTAAAACAAATGGTATAAACTGTAGGGTCCAAGGACAAAACCATATAGAGTGAAGCCAGAACCAGCAAAACAAAAGTAAAATCTCTGGCTGGTTTAACAAGTTGGTGACATTTTGCCAGTTGCTCCAGGATAGGATAATATTGACAGAGGTTAACCTAGTAATCCAGACCGGATCAGACAGACAATGGTTTACAAAAACAGGTTCAGTCAGGCAAGGGTTAATCAAGGCAGATGAGGCTTGTAACCTCTAGGAAGTTCACAAAAAAATGAGCAAAGAACCTGGTGGGGTTTAGATTTAAATAGGGGAGAGGAAATGGAAACCCTCCCACAAGGAGGGTTAAATGGGCCTATGTAAGCTCTAGTGTGAGCAGGTCCACACTCCCAATATGTGAGATGCTATGTCCGTTTCCCAACTCAACTAGTTGTATCTCAACACTTCCCCTAAAAATGTCATCATGGAGCCACCAAGGTTCTGACACCTTGGTACCAGTAGGGATTAAACCCTAATGATACTTTTAATGCATGATGGACTATGCAGTCAACGTTTATTCATTGGTAACAATACCTTGCTCAGACGAGAACAAGGAAGAATATGTCACCAGCTCCTGCCTACAGGTGCATGTTATTTTTGTTTTCCATATTTTAAATGTTATCACATTAAACTCCTTAATTGTAGTGGTGATTGCAGTAAAGTAATTGGGAAAGGGCATGGGTTCTATTGCCTTGCTTTACCTTGAACCCTGTGCGGCTTGTCTGATGATTTCAGAAATGTTATGGGCATTGTACGGTTTTATTGCAGGTGAAGCAAAAGCAAGCCTCTGGACCCTGTGTACATATGCCTAAAACACTCTGGTTATATTGTGCACTTAAAATCATCACACTTAAATGGCTTTTATGGATGCTTAGTGAAAAACGATTGTCCACCTGATCTTTAATATGACAGATGTCCTATGTAGGTAAAGTAAGAATATAAATTAGGCAAAAAGAATGAGGGCTTAACGTCGGAGTTAGATTACATGGGACATTATATCTTGAGAGGAGTTAAAGCTTTGCTGTAATTGGTGTTTAGAATGAAGGGGTTTTAGGGTTATTGTGGGGTTAAATTTAGTATTTTGGTGTACGTGGTGTTTAGGATTATCGAGTTTAGGGTTAGAATTGGGTTAAATTTAGTATTCAGGTACATGGTATGCTTAGTTTTTAAGAGAAGTTAGATTTAGGATTACAGTAACATTTTTCAGTTTTAGGCTTTGGTTGTTTAAATTTGGTATTAAGGGAAGTTTGCATTGGTTTTGGGAGGAAATGAATGTTTAGGATACAGGCATTTTGAGTTTGAAGTTACTTTATTTGCAAAGTAATTATATATTAATCTATATATATTTTAAGCATAGCTTTATACGTTATGTTTAAAATATGTACACAAATATTAATATACATGTATATATGCATAATACAGAACTCAAACATACAAACATACACTAATATAAAATTTAAAACGTGCTTTGTATTCCTCACAGGGTTATTGGAGGTAATGAAAATACAAGTTGCATAAATTCTCATTCTCGGCTATAGTGTCATCGTAACTGATTTAGCCTAGATTTTGCAAATCAGATTCTCATTATCAAAAATTCTTAGTTTAGTGAATAACGCTGCCTGTCTTCCAGGGTTCTTGCGCTGGTATCAAACCCCAGCCCTATAGTATATCCAGCAAAGAGCACACTTATGGGATTTAAGAATAAATTAAATTACTTCTTTATTTTAATCAGGTGTGCAACAGCATACAGTTATTTCGATCCCATTAACAGACTTTTTACAAAACAGCAAGATAATGGGACTGAAACATTGACTATACTGTTGGTCATATCTACCTATTCCCCCTTAAGAATGGAGGTAATTGTACAAGTTCTGATAAAAAAAAAAAAAACACAATGAAACCTAGATTTTGAGCTATTTGTCTGTTCAACCATAATTTATCTCTTTCATATTAAGTGCACCCACACTTATTATATATAATTTTGTTCAGAAGAAGTAGGACTTTCATTTCACATCAAACAATGTAATAGAGCAGCAGGAAATGCTAGCAGAATGCTTGGTTGTATAGGGAGAGGTATTAGCAGTAGAAAGAGGGAAGTGCTCATGCCATAGTACAGAACACTGGTGAGACCTCACTTGGAGTATTGGACGCAGTACTGGAGACCGGATCTTCAGAAGGATATTGATACCTTAGAGAGGGTTCAAAGAAGGGCTACTAAACTGGTTCATGGATTGCGGGATAAAACTTACCAGGAAAGGTTAAAGGATCTTAACATGTATAGCTTGGAGGAAAGACGAGACAGGGGGGATATGATAGAAACATTTAAATATATAAAGGGAATCAATACAGTAAAGGAGGAGACTATATTTAAAAGAAGAAAAACTACCACAACAAGAGGACATAGTCTTAAATTAGAGGGACAAAGGTTTAAAAATAATATCAGGAAGTATTACTTTACTGAGAGGGTAGTGGATGCATGGAATAGCCTTCCAGCTGAAGTGGTAGAGGTTAACACAGTAAAGGAGTTTAAGCATGCGTGGGATAGGCATAAGGCTATCCTAACTATAAGATAAGGCTAGGGACTAATGAAAGTATTTAGAAAATTGGGCAGACTAGATGGGCCGAATGGTTCTTATCTGCCGTCACATTCTATGTTTCTATGTTTCTATGTTATGGAACACAATTTAATATGAATAGAATCTAAAAACATGTGAGAAATATTGCCATGTTCTGCACAGCATTTTAACTGTGAATGTTACTTTTAGCTTTTACTGTAATAAACTACAGCTATATATGTGTTCAGCGAGGTCTCCCGAGTAAAATAGTAGTCCTGATGCACAGGTTTTATGGGGTTTGGAAAGTTACAGGGCCAAATATGGGGCTTGTTTACATATTGAAATTTGCCAGATTGGTTTGTTGGGTCTATGATGCCTTTGAGACTGTATGGCATCACAGGAGTAAAACTTACCCCTATCATGGCATACCATTTGCAAAAGTAGATCACTCTGAGTATTCAAAATGGGGTATGTCCAGTCTTTTTTATTAACCACTTAGTCACACACCCAGGCCAAAGCTAGTGCTCATATTTTGTAGTTTGCATTTCTCACACAAAAACTGCACTTTTACTGATGATATCATTGTCATTATTATACGTTTTGCTGATCTAAAACACTCATATTTGTGTTTAGGGATATCTCATGAGTACAACAGTACCACACCATGTACAAGTTTTATGTGTATATCAAATATAGGGCTTGCCCATTTCAGTTTTTACACATTGAAATTTGCCATATTTGTACTTTGACAAAGTGATTTTCTGGGCCAATGTCACCTTTGAGACAGTATGGCAGCCCAGAAAAGAACATGACCCACTTTATGGCATATCATTTTTAAAAATAGGCAACCCAGAGTATTCTAAATGGCAGAATCTGAGTTATATTTTTATTACACATTGTCATGGGGGGAGTACCACACATGTACCATTTTTTTCAGGTTTTTTTTTGTATGTCACATGACTACACTGAATGCAGTGGTCGCCAGTACTTTTTTCTGTTCATACCAAGCAAATTAAGTTTCCTAGCATACAGTGCTGACTGACAGGTTAGGGCCTGCCTCCGGTGCCAGTCTGTAGTCGTCTTAGCAGCAATCCGCATCCACTGCAAGTGAGGCCTCGCCGGCATTGTAATGAAGAAATGAAGAGAGAACTGCGATATTGTGAAGCCCTGCTGCCCCTTCATTGAAATGGAGAGTGTGATCCCAGTCCCCATCATGAGGACACCCTGCCTCCACAGAAGGCTTGCAGCGCTGCCACGTTTTCAGAGGCAACAAGGCAAGATGCATCCAACCTGGTGGAGGCCGCATGTTCCTGGCTCAAACTGGGGGGAGAGTGTGATGCATCGCACCAGCTGAACCGCCTACGCTGGTATTTCCAGCCCACACCACAAGCTAACCTGACTTGCTTACCTCTACGGAGACTCCCACGTCTCAGAAAGCAACACATTGCTGCGAATCCCAAGGTAGCCCGCCTCAAAAAGCACAGGCAACAATGGAGGCGCCAAAAGGGAATGCGTGCTGCACTGGCTTACACCCATCTGCCAACCACAACTGAAGACACCTGGGAGGGCCTGACATACTACACAGGTACTTCCTTGCTATTGTCTCTGACTTCCAGTCTACCTAATGGCGCCATAGTGAGGGGCTGCACTTTTCCCATGGCAGGCATCGGCTGTAGGTCCCCTGAGCGTGCACTATCTTTCATGGAGGAATGTGGCTGGGCAACTGTTTAGTTCACTCACTTTTTTTTGTAATTTTCCATGCAAAAGTTATTTTCTCTTATTTCATCTCACTTTCATATAATGTATTGAACTCTTCCATCTCTTACCCTTAGAGTCCCTTATGGTGGAACCACCGTTAGACACTTCACGTGTTCTATCTTATAGTACTTCTTTTTTTAAAAAAGGTTTATTGACTGCCATAGAATTGTTTTAAGATGTAGATTGATTAGCTTGCTCTTGCTGTGTGGCGTTGCAAGCCTGTTTGTACCACTTATGCACAACTAAAATAAAGAATTTAAAAAAGCAAACAAATTTAAGAGTACCCCCACATACTGGTTTTTCTGGTAAGTCATGGGGCTAAGTATATGTGACGAAGTGCCCTTCGCCACTTGGTCCTGGAGAGGCCTCTTGCCAGCCTCCTCCCCTGTGACTATGACTCTTTCATGTATTTGGCTTTAAAGCCCCTAGTCTACCTTCAGACAGACTATTTATGTAGGCTGCTTTATTTATCTTATGTTTTAGTCACCCTGTACCCATTATAGGTGCAGGGTGTGTGTAATGTAATTGTTTATAGTGTGTGTGTGTGTGTACTGTGAAATGTATTGCCTGCTCTCCTGTACTGCTGAGGTTTGCTACCAACTAGGTGGGTTTGGCTATGGAGCTTGTCTAGTGCCCTCTGTTGGTAGCAACAGCAATATGCACTACCTGAATTGCCAGACTGGTTCATTTGCATATTCGGGTAGATTTGCATATTGCTAATTCTGCAGGCAGGTGAGATATTTACTGTTAAATATTGTCTCCCCCACTCCTTTAAAAATGTGCCATTGTGTTGTGATAAGTCACTGGTTTGACTGTTTTTGATTTTATTGAGGTTTCACAACAATGTTATTGTGGTGAACCTATGGGCTGGTCCCAAGGGAAATTAAGGTTGAGACAGTTCTACTTCACCCTCAATTTGGAGTCCTGTCTCATTTTGGGGGAATCTGCTACAAGGGATTGCTATGCTCTGCATATTCCCTTGCTATAATCACTCCTAAGCTCTTTTAAGAGCTTGTTCCTGCTTCGCTCTGAAGGAAGAGAGCTTTGGCCTTCGGTGGTTGTGGTGTCGGCTAGAGTGCTTGGAATCCTCAAGAATCGCTAGGAGCATCTATCAACGGAGGTACCCAGTCGGGGTGCCAGGTGATCTGTTACAGTATATTAATTGCACTTTTCAACTTGTAAAATTCACAAAGTTATTTTCTGTGCCTATGTTGCCTTTGAGAGAACCTGGCACCCTGAGAAAGAAAATTACCCCCATTATGGCATGCCATTTTAAGTATTCTAAATGCAATATTTTGAGTTGTTTGGTGTAGGAAATGTATAATGGTGGGGCTTAACATAAAAAGGGACAGACCAAGGTCAGGGGAATCCAGTCAAAGTAGTTGGTAAAACAAGCCAATAAGTTGGTACAGGCAGCTCACAAAGTGTAATCAGGATAAGCCGAGGTTAGAAATGCAAAAAAATCAAAGAACAAAAAAATCCAATACACAGTGATTCAGCTCTGTATGGTAGACTCTGAAACAGTCTTTTATTTATTTATAAAATATTTTACCATGAAGGATACGTTGAGATTTCTCTAGTTTTCAAGTATGCCCTGGGTCCACAAAACATTGCATTGTTACAATGGGGTACAATATTAATATATATATTTTTTTTATATATGTATATATATAAAATATACACACACATATATAAATTTAATACATAACAGGTAATAAATATAATCAACCATGACAGGTGCATTCTGTGCTGAGGTATATTGCCATAGATCTCTTAAAAGATTTTAGATTGAATGAAGATTTGACTGTGTCCCTGAGGTTATTCCATAATTGTGGTGCTCTGTAGGAAAATGAGGATCAAGCCACTTTATTTTTTTTTATTATGGTATGCTAAATAAAGTGCTGGTACTGGATCAGAGGTTATAGGAGGTGGGGACAGATGGGGAGAGCATTCTACTTAAGTAGGGTGGGAGCTTCCCAGAAATGCTCTTATGCACAAGGCTGGAAAGATGAAGTCGGGATTCCAGCAATAGCCAGTTCAGCTCTTTTAACATGTCACAATGGTGGGTCAAGTAATTACATTCTAGTACAAAGCGGCAGAATGAATTATATAACGTATTACGTTTATTAAGGTGGGTTTGCGGTGTGGGTGCATACACTACATCCATCCCCATAATCAATGACTGACATTAGCATTTGTTGCACTATCTGTTTCCTTAATGTAGGGCTTAGGCAGGATTTGTTTCTGTACAGGGCACCTAGTTCTGGGTAAAGTTTTGAAGAGATTTTTTCAATGTGAAGGCCAAAGGATAGATTGGGGTCTAGCAACATACCTAGATATTTAAAAGAGCAGACTGCTGAATTTGTTCTGATACACAGTTGTTGATTTTGCAGGTTACATAATTTAGGTACAGTTCCAAAGATCATTGTAATGGTTTTGTCAGTGTTTAGGAAGAGTTTGTTATCCGCTATCCACTTTTCTACCTCAAATCTTCATTCAATCTAAAATCTTTTAGATAGAGATCTATGGTAATATACCTCAGCACAGAATGCACCTGTCATGGTTGAATATATTTATTACCTGTTATGTATTAAATTCATATATATGTGTGTGTGTGTATATATATATATATACCCAGGACATACTTGTGGACCCAGGATATAGTTGAAAACGAGAGAAATCTCAATGTATCCATCCTGGCAAAATATTTTATAAATAAATAAATATGTACCCAGGATTACATATTGTTTGCCTGAGAATGATACATGTAATTTTAGTTTGTGTTGGTCTAGGTCAAACTCTTTTTTTTTTTTTGTGTGTGCTGTCCCCTTGAACTTGAACCTGGTTTATTTGGCCTGTGTTAGCCTTTGAGTATGACATGCTTGCTGTACAGTACATTGATCAGGCAGCAAGGAAGAGGTTGAAAAATGTAAAAGCTGCTGCAGCTGACAAAAGGGTAAAAAAAATATTTTGACCCTAAAAAAACAACGAATAGTACCAAGGTACTAATCACCCTAATTTGACTGATCACAGGGTTAAAGCTGTGATCAGCACTGAAAGGCATATATATGTTTATATTATATATTGTAGAACACTATTTAAAATCTTTACACATTTAGCGCAGTTTAGTCAATAATCAACTCAGATCAAAGTGAGAAGCAGAGAGGGGCAGAGACAATGTCACAAATCATTGGATGATAAATTGTAACAGTGATTGTGGTGACAGGCTGCCGTCGCGATTACATGCTGCAGATCATCGCAATTACCTACAGGGGGGCTGCCTCGGATGCCAGGCATACACACAGGCGGTGATCGGCAACATGGTTATGGAGGCGAACCAGTAGAAGGACTAAAATGTTAGGGTGTGCTATGCCGCCCTAATTGTGTTTAAGCCCCACCCACTGCATACTGAAGCAGTTATTTTGAAGATCTGTGTATGCTCTTATGCATGCTGGATCATTTTCAAATTGTTTACATTTTTTTTTTAACCTGTATAACTACACACTATGTTGGTACATTCCATTATAAGATACATATTGATTCGTGTCACTTTGGTGGTTTGCTTACTTGATTCTCAAAAGTCAAAAACATTGCTTGCTCTTTATTTTGGTTAATGTATGTTTGCTTATATATCAGATTAAAATGTTCTATAATTATTTATTTTCAACAGTATTAAAATATGATTTATTATTTTCCTCCCCACGCTTATTTTATTTATTTCAATAGAGGAGTGGGGGAAACTCTGGGTTGTAGTTGCCCTTCTGCTAGTCAGTCCCTGCACTGAGTCCAATTGAGAAATATTTCATGACGTATGATAAAACAATTACGTATACACGCCAGGCACCCAACAGATATTAGATACACTCTATAGGTGAGGTTACTGGTACTGGATGCTGTATTTAATTAGATTGGATTTTTTTTTCTAATTATTTTTGTAGGTAGTGGGCCAGCAAAAGTGCCAGTCAGCCTGGTGCAAAAACCCTTTTCTTTGTAAGGATGTAATACTGACATACCCCCAAATCCTTGTCCTCCACCCTGCTTTAATTAGAGGTACTCTATTTGTAAAACGTAATGAGTTATTCAAAGCTTTGCTTCTTTTTCTCAGTCATAATAATATCTATCTCAATAGAAAGTTCCTTGTAAGCAATTTAAATACATACCATGTAATCATACATTCCAGGCTTTGGATAACTCATTACGTTTTTATATATATATATATATATATATATAAATTATGGATCACTTTTTGAAATGTACCCATGCAAAATAAAATGTTCACTAGTTAACATAATTGGTTTTCTTCATTCATTCTAAGTAAAAAAAAAAAAATAACCTAAAAACACACCATGCAACTTATTACAAGTAGAAAGATACTTTCATTTATCTTTCAGCATTTTTAGCATGTGGGATTTATCTTAACAGAATGTATAATCCTCCTTTTTAAGATACAATAAAATATATCAAAGTATGTTTTCTCAAGGTCTTACCTACCCTGATGCCTGTCTGCTGTATCTGCTGTAGGGTGTTTTATTGCCGTTCGTTTTAGAAGAAAATCTGCAACAAGAAGTGTAGGCTTCTTTAATAGTAACACGTTTGTGGGCAGGTCTTCCAACAAACACAGAATGGATTGACAAGTTTTCTGTCACCTGTAAATATTTTAAGGAAGTGACTTTACTATTGTCATTCTGAGAATTTTCCCCACAGGTTTACAATGGCATGTATATAAATGGTAGAATGTATATACATTAAATATGCTTAACTTGTAATGTTCATGTTAACTCCCTCTACTGTTTTGTAAAATCACATTAAATATATTAAAATACATCAGAAAGGACACCGAAAAAAAAGGAGTGAAAACGTGGTATGTTTTTTGAATCTTGTTTCTTTTTGTTAGTCAAGTATTCGATTGTTTATATATTGCTTTGTTAGAACATTCCATAAGAGAACAGTGCAGTGCAGGATAGAATCCTACACATGGCTTCCCAAGTAGTCTCATTTTCATATCCCAGGTTTTTCCTTCCAACTATCTTTGTGCTTTGTTTTATTTTGTTTTTTTTAGTAGCTTTAGGGGCTACCGCTCCGGATGTGGCTTTCGTCAGCAACAAACTCTCTTCAGGTGGAAGAATGCCAGTACTCTTTTCATTTTATACTTGGTAGGTGACTTTGGAGAAGAGTTGGCAGCCCCTAGTAGTAAATGCTGGCTAATCTTTATAAAGACAAGAGTCTAAGTAGTTACAGCTTTTCTCCCTTCATCTCTCCCATCTCCAAATGCCAAGGCACAAGGATGAGCCAAGTTTCTGGGAACAAATGTAAACACTTAATTTGAGAAAAATTGGTCACATATCTGTTCTGTGCTAGTCTTAGTAGCACTTAGTCACATGGTTACATAGTAACATTGACTGATAAAAGACTCAAGTCCAACCCTTAACATATCTGAATTTGTATCTATGTAGTAGACACAGGGGTGAGGATTTTAGACTGTATAGTTGAAGGAGGTTGAAAGACGTGCTGTCACAGTAACTGAGAACCTTAAACACACAAACCTCAACTAACAACAATGAAGGACAAGGATAGCCCATATTACCGGTCCTTAGAGTGGCTGGAATTAACAGATAGAATATTCAGAGTACAAGTCAAGGTCAAGAATAGGAGAAAACAGGATTATCAGAAGACAAATGTCAGGAGCACAGAAATCAGGAATATCAAAGAACAAGCCATGGTCAAACCACAATACAGACAACTACAACAAATGCGCTACTGGGTCAGCAAGAATCATAACATGGCAACTAGGCCTTGTCAGAATGCGTTTATATAAAAAGATAATATGTAGTGCAACAAATAAATATTCAACAAAATATACTTCTATGTAAACTTGTTAGTAAAGCATTCATTTTTAAAAGTAGCACTTTTAAAAATTAATAACAAAACACATAGTGCAGAGCATCTGTACAATAGATATTGAGGAATTAAAGCAAGAAACCTTAAAGGATCACTATAAGGTCAGGAACACAAACTTGTATTTCTGACCCTATAGTGTTAACACCACCATCTAGCCCCCCTGGGCCCCTCATGCCTCCATAAATATAGTAAAAATCTTTCCTGAAGCTGTAACTCTGCATGTTGTTAGATTTAGAAAATCAAGCAGTCTGCTGACATGTGGCATTGGCGGATCCAGGGGGGGGGGCAACGGGGCAATTGCCCCCCCCGAGATTCCCCCTGCCGGCTAACGCAGGGCTGGCATTGCCCAAGTGCTAGCCCTGCAATGTGCCTGCGGACCGGGGAAGAAGATCAGAGATCTCCCTCCCCGGTCCGCAGGCACCGTGCTGACAGCGAGTGAGAGAGAGAGAGGACCCGGAGCTCAGTCTGCAGCTCCTCCGGGTCCTCCTCTCTCGAGATTTGGAGCGTTGCCGCGGTTTCCACGGCAACGCTCCAAATCTCGCGTGAGTGAACTCTAGCCCGGGAGCGCGGGCTAGAGTTCACTCCAACCACTGGGACCACCAGGGAATCACCACTGGGACCACCAGGGAAATGTCCCCCCTCCTCCTAAATAAAGGTAAGAAGGGAGGGGGGACATATAATATTTATTTTATTAAATTAAAAAAAGATTATTATTAAAAAGCCTCCTTCCCTCCCCCCATTACACACACTGCCCCCCCCCATACACACACTG